ACTGTTACGTTTGGGTTTTCCTGTGAGCAGCAAGCTTTTCCATAAAACACAAGGAAAAAAAAAACTGCACTCTTGTGGATTCCATAGCACTGCATTAAAAATATCTCAATCTTGAATAAATAAAGAATACTTTTTAAAATGTCTCTCAGAGCCAAATGATCGAAATACGCATACAGAAAGAGCTGAGCTCACAAATAAGGCAAGATGGGGGGGGGGGTGGAATCAAAGACTCAATGCAACATAACTCAGAGAGATGTTTGGCAAGCAGAAGGAAATGTGCAAGTGCTTTGTCTCTCACAGCCCAGCCCCAGGCTAGACATGAAAATCCGGCAGTGATAAATTAGGCTCACCCCATAGGTGGGTGTGTGTGCACCTGACGTTCGTGTCAATGGGATGCATGCTAGACACAAAGTATCCGGCTAATAGCTCTGCAAAGACAGTTTAGAGGAAAGATCAAAGCCCAGCTGGAAGTGAAACAATTGTAATTACAAAATTGGGGGCCGGAAGGACAGATGAACAGTTCCTCATGCCCACTCCACAAACCCCTCGGAGTCCCCACGACTCCCAGGATCAACCAGCAGAGCAACAGAAGGCAGGAGGCAGGTGGTCCGTTCAGCAGGGAAGGGGTTAAGGACGCGAGTTCTAGAGCTTCTGCCCCTGCACGGATACACCTCCCTCAGCATCCTGCCCATGACCAATTAATTAAGGAATTAGTTTATCAATAACTTAACTCGCCCGGAATGCGGGCATCCACGTGACTGACTGACTCACCCCAAAGCCAAGCCTCTCGCTTCCATCGGGATCTGGCAAAATCAGCAAAAGTGACCCAGCTGCCCCAGAGTTCCAAGCACCCCAGAAAGGTCCTCCTTGCTGGACCCCGGAGCAGCGTGTTCCGAGGTAAGGTGGAAGAGATGACGTGAGTGAGCCGACAGATGAGCCAACGAAGGAATGAATGCATGAACCCGTGAGACTCATCGATGGGTGGGGGTGCCGGGAGGTTCCCTCCACCCTCTGGCCTCCCTGGGTCCCCATTCTCGCCCACCTCTGCAGCCCCAGCTCAACCGCTCCACATTCCCTGGGTCATTCTGTCTCCTCATCAAGGAGAGACAGCCAAAAGAATAATGTCTGCTCCCACGGACTTCCTCAGGATTTTTTTTTTTTTTTTTTGACAGGCAGAGTGGACAGTGAGAGAGAGAGACAGAGAGAAAGGTCTTCCTTTTGCCATTGGTTCACCCTCCAATGGCCGCTGCGGCCGGCGCACCGCGCTGATCCGATGGCAGGAGCCAAGTGCTTCTCCTGGTCTCCCATGGGGTGCAGGGCCCAAGCACTTGGGCCATCCTCCACTGCACTCCTGGGCTACAGCAGAGAGCTGGCCTGGAAGAGGGGCAACCAGGACAGAATCCGGCGCCCCGACTGGGACTAGAACCCGGTGTGCTGGCGCCGCAAGGTGGAGGATTAGCCTAGTGAGCCACGGTGCTGGCTTCTTCCTCAGGTTTAAGACAGCCTGTCAGGCGGAGCTGGGGGCAGCAGTTCGACCCTGCTTGGAATCCCTGCATCCCCTATCAGAGGACCTGGGTTGGAGTCCCCACTTCTTGCTTTCAATCCAGCTTCCTGCTCCTGTGCACCCTGGGAGGCAGTGGGTGATGGCTCAGTGACATGGGTCCCTGCCACTTACATGACTACAAGATTGAGTTCCCAGCTCCCAGCTTCAGGAGAAAGTGGATTATCCAGTTCAGCCGCATGCGTGGCAGGGAGCCAAGTACTTGAGCTATCATCTCCCAGGGTTTGCATGAGCAGGAAGCTGGATCAGAAGCAGAATGAAGGGACTTAAATCAGGCACTTGAGTACAGGAAGTTGGCATCCCAAGCAGTGTCGTAACTGCTGTGCGAAAGGCTCACTCTAACCTGTTTCCTCTTTTTTACAATTTACTTATTTATTTACTTATTTGAAAGGCAGAGTGAGAATGAGAGAGTGGGAGTGAGAAAGACACAGAGAGAGTGATGGCCAATGCTGTGGCATAGCAGGTAAAGACGCCGGCTACAGTGCCGACATCCCATATGGGCACTGGTTCTAGTCCCGGCAGCTCCTCTTCCAATGCAGCTCTCTGCTGTAGCCTGGGAAAGCAGTAGGAGATGGTCCAACACCTTCAGCCCCTGCACCCATGTGGGAGACCTGGAAGAAGTTCCTGGCTCCTGGCTCCTGGCTCCTGGCTTCGGATTAGCACAGCTCTGGCTGTTGCAGCCATCTGGAGAGTGAACCAGTAGATGGAAGACCTCTCCCCCCCACTCCCCCTCTCTCTGCCTCTCCTCTCTCTGTGTAACTCTGACTTCCAAGTAAATAAATAAATCTTAGAGAGAGAGAGAGAGAGAGAAACTGAGAGAGAAAGAGAGAGAGAGAGAATCTTCTACCCACTGATTCACTCTTCAAATGGCCACAAGGGCCAGATCTTGGGTCAGACCAAAACCATGAGCCAGGAACTGCACCCGGTCTCCCACGTGGGCAGCAGAGGCCATGCGTGCACTTGAGCCATCTTCCGATGCCTTCTCCGGTACGTCAAGCAGCTGCATCGGAAGCAGAGCGGCCAGGACTTAGCCAGTGATCATGGGGACGCGGGGTTCTGGCATGCAAGCAGTGGCTTAGCCATCGCAACACAACGCCAGCCCCGTCTCTGTTTTCTAAGAGGAAGATTCTCTGTGTCCTAATCTGGCCCTGCAAAAATAACATCACACATCACAGCTTTCTAAGTCCACATCCCCAAAGCTACAAGGGTTGGCCATATCTATAAACCAATCAGAGTTCTCTCTCTTTCCAACAAAACTTGGACAACATTCCTGTCTCTATTATCTCATTCGTTTTGTCATTTTCCACTCATTGGCTTATTGATATATTCAATAACTACTTAATAAACACCTGTTTGGAAGACATTTTCAAAAATCATTTCTCCTTTTGGTAAAGTCTAGAAAACATCAGTAGGTTGGGAATGGCGCTGTTTGCTGTATGCAGGGTCTCCTAAGCAGAGATACGTCACAGAGAGGCGACTGCAGTGACACTGGCTCTGGGCCGTGGCTCTCAGCACCGCCCCTCCACTCTCATGCATCAGAGGAGCTGCCTTGGCTGAGCCTAGCCTGTTTCTGACATGGTGTGTGTACAGTGGCACGTCTTGCACCCGCATGTTTGCAAAACACCTTCAGTTAGGTCAATGAGGCACTGGTTTGCATCCGTGTCTGCCTTCTGATGGATAGAAAATGCCGCCTGTTAGCCACGCTATCTCACTGGGGAGAACCCCTCAGGTGCAGAGATTTGTGTGGCCACTGTGCCTCCCCTGCTGCCCTGCAGTCAGACGTGGTAAGGAGAGGAGGCAGGCGGGGCAGGGAGTGAGCTGGGAACAGGTGCTCTCTGCCCCTGAACGCTGCTTGAGTGGCTTCTTCATCCACTCATGTGTGTGCTTTCTCTTTTCATCTTTCCTCTTGTCTCTTTTTGAGGGTGGAGGTGCAGTCTGCAAGAGGAGAAATCCCACGCGGGACTTTCATGATCAGTGAGATTCCAGCCCTGGGGGAAGGGAGCAGGCAGCCAGGTCCAGTCCCGGCTCCGTCACAGATTAGCAAGGAAGCAATGGTGCAGGCAGAAGCTGCGGACATGGATCACGTAGTCGTCCACTTCATTCCCGCTTTTACAGCAAACCCAGAGAAAAACAAGGAACCACGCTGATTTGCAAATATATACACAGGAGTGAAATTGTAAAGAAAATATGAGAAAAGATGAACAAAAGTACACAAAACACGCCACTGTGACTGCGCTGAGGACTTAAGATTCCCAGCGGCCAAGACAAGCAAACTGACATCCATTATTTCAATTCTTTTCTGTAAGCTGGGGACAAGAACGCACAAAAATTATTAGACAATCACAGGTGCAGACATTTCACCAGCTGCCACACACGGACTAAACACTCAGAAACGCCTTACATCAAATCTCAGCATCTCTGGAGTACCTGTGACGGGAAGGCCATTTTAACAGTTTGAAACTCCATAGCCACTGTTGTGGCACAAACAGAAAAGCTTCTATCTGCAACTTCAGCATCCCATATGGGCACTGGTTCAAGGCCCAACTGCTCTACTTCCAATTCAGCTCCCGTTAATGTGCCCGGGAAAGCAGCAGAGGATGGCTCAAGTGCTGGGGTCGCTGCACCTACGTGGGAGACCCGGATGAAGCTCCTGGCTCAGCGTGGACCAGCCCTGGCCATTGCAATCACTTGGGGAGTCAACAGTGGATGGAAGATTCTCTCTCTCTCTCTCTCTCTCTCTCTCTGCCCCATGAACCTCTTTCAAATAAATAAATATTTTAAAAAGTGTGACACACTGTATAACCTTAAGATGCTCTTTCTCTAACCTTCGTCACAGTTATAATTTGCCAGTAATCGCATCACCAAGAGTGGAGACAAAACCCTCTCTCCAGGGATGTTTATTTCCCTGTGAAGAATTTGAAATTTGAAGTAGATACCATCACTTTTCCCGTACTTCTGCGAACAATTTGTTCCCCAAACATATCTTCAGCACAGGGTCTCCAGTGGTCCCACTGACTTCTCACTTGTTGTAAGAGTTGGAATATGTTTCATTTCACCGACAGCTTTTCTTACTTAGTGAACAGTAACTGATCATTGAATCCACTAACACTTCCTTCACACAGAAACACACCTGTACCAAGAAGCCACGCCCCTGCACACACACGTCTCACACAGCAGTACTCGGTGGTTGAGAGGGGAGGAATGAGACCAGTGGGTTAACAAGCAGTTCGCCTGGTCCACGCAAACCCAGGCATCCCACAGCAGCCTCATCACATCCGTGGGCACACGGTGGAGACTGCAGGGTTACCCTCTGGGGCTTTGCGAGGAAGCTTCGGGAATGATGAAGCCTTCTCCCCCTCCGCGCTGAGCGACTCTGCATCTCCTGGGAGGAGCAGGAACTGCGGGGCAGTCTGTGAGAGGTGACTGGGAGGATCTGTACCTGTCCCGCTGGGCGTCCGCAGGCTTGGGGACGTCCTCTGGTTCTGGGGCTGGTGCAAGGCCCCGGTGACGCAAGAGACAGCAGCAACCACACCAGACCCATCTGCCACCTGAGATTCCTGGAAGAAAGGCCTTGCACAGTCACTTGTTCCACTTCAACATCTGAACGCCTCCCAGGCTGCAGGTGACAGAGGAGAGCGTTCTCCTGGTCCCTCGGGAGTAGCTCACTGCCCAGCACGGCCACTTGCAAACGGTGAGAATTTGAGTGAAGAATTTGACCGCACTGAGCCTCGCTCTCCTCATTTTTTTAATTTTTTTTTTTGACAGGCAGAGTGGACAGTGAGAGAGAGAGAGAGACAGAGAGAAAGGTCTTCCTTTGCCGTTGGTTCACCCAACGGTGGCCACCGTGGCCGGCGTGCTGCGACTGGCGCACCGCACTGATCCGAAGGCAGGAGCCAGGTGCTTCTCCTGGTCTCCCATGGGGTGCAGGGCCCAAGTACTTGGGTCATCCTCCACTGCACTCCCGGGACACAGCAGAGAGCTGGCCTGGAAGAGGGGCAACCGGGACAGAATCCGGCACCCCGACCGGGACTAGCACCTGGTGTGCCGGCGCCTCAAGGTGGAGGATTAGCCTAGTGAGCCGCGGCACCTGGCCACGCCCTCCTCATTTTTAAAAGAGGGATAACTGGCACAGCCCTCGCGGGATGCACTTGGAAGTGGCCGGCTCACGACACCCTCCACGACATCCGATGTTTCGAAGCAACCATTTCAGGAACAACGACGTCTCCCCTGGACAAAGAGATTATTTTTGAATGCTCTGCTTTAGTGAATCATAGTGGGTCCTAGGAAAGATCAAGAAAGGCTTGAAACTAAAATACTTCATGCATAACAACATCGCTGTAAATTAATAACAGCATCTTCACCAGCTCTTCATTCCTGCCTCGCAGGAATCCCTCAGCTATTTATGGAATGAGAAATTAAAACGCGAGCCTACGGAGTTGGCTTTGTGGCATAGCAGGTTAAGCCGCTGCCTGTGATGTCAGCATCCCATGTGGGCGCCAGTTCGTGTCCCAGCTGCTCCCCCTCCGATCTAGTACTCGGCTATGGCCTGGGAAAGCAGTAGAAGATGGCCCGCGTGCTCAGGCCGCTGTAACTGCGTGGGAGACCTGGATGAAGCTCCTGGCTCCTGGCTTCAGATCAACCCACCTCCAGTTGTTGCTGGAAACCAGCTGATGAAAGACATGTGTGTGTGTGTGTGTGTGTGTGTTCTCTGGAACTCTTTCAAATAAATTTAAAGAGAGAGTGCGTAACTAGCTGCTCATCCATGTTCACTCGTTGGGAGTGAATAGCGTGGAAGTTTTCATCCAGTCCCCTACACAACAAAGTAAAGACACTGACAACACTGGCAGCCACACGGGTGGGTGGTGTCCAAGTGGTTCTGTGGACCTGGTCTGGGTCTGTAAAGATGCCTAGCGTCTACTCGAGGGATCCAACAGGACTTCTGAAGTCCACGACAAGGCCAAAGCCCACTCAGCCGACAGCCAGCTTCACACACCCACGGGCCTTCCACCAGTCGGTCAGCAGTGACGCCATCCTGTTTGCCTGCAACTCACCACTTCGATGATCGGATTTCCCACCCAACGTTCAGCCGACAATGAGCAGACTAAAAATGACCGTGCCAGACGCTCCCAATGCCCAGAGGGTGAAACAGCTCGGTGTACTTCCCACAGCGCTTCGCTCCGAACCGTGACTCACTCACCTGGTAAGCGGCTGGTGGGTGCCGGGCTGCTCAAAACCAGTTCTCGCCTTTTAACCTACCGTGTTTGCACGGATAGCCACATCCTTAACGCCAAGCACCCCGGGGAAAGTCCAGACTGCGGCTGTGTAGTCACACACGTGACCTCTGTATTTTCTACGTCACGCACAAGCACCCAGTCAAACAATCGCTGACAGGCAACTTTCCCGGGGTGATGTCGCCCAAGTCACATTGCAGACGCCACGAAAGGGGACGCATTCATTTAGCACCAGAAATGAAAAATGGGGTAAAAATCTGTTTGCTGTTCTTGGGGAAGTAGAGAATCCAGCTTAAGATGTTTCCCCAGATGCCATGGAAAAAAAGCCAACCAACGGTGACCAAAAAAAAAATCTGACTCCATCCAAGATAATCACTGTTAAGCAATGTCTCTGGGAACGTGTGCATTGCCTTGCAAAAATTAAAACCAGTGTGGACATTGCCCTGACTGCTTGTTGCACATTTCCTTTACTGGAAAAACTGGGCTGGTTTTGTTTCTATTCCTGTTGTTGAGATTTTTTTGTGTGTTCAGGAAAAAGAGATGAGAGAAGAGTAAAAAAAAATAACTTTTATTTCTGTCTTAATTCCATTTGAATATTCAGAATTCAGCCCACGGTACCTCCTAACACTCCAAGCCCAGCTCCTGCCTCTTCCCATTCCATCACAGTTTTCGACGTGTGCTCTTGTCCACAGGATGGCTCCCACCAAGGCAGGTGGCGGGAAGAACTGTGACTGCCCCGCCATCCATGAGGTACTGACCAAGAGTGCACCCCCAATACTCACACGGCATCCACGCCCAGGGGCTGGTGTTGTGATGCCAGCATCCAATACAGGCACCAGTTCTCCTCCCAGCTGCTCCTCTTCTAATACAGCTCTCTGCTATGGCCTGGGAAAGCAGTGGAAGATGACCCGAATGCTTGGGCTCCTGCACCCGTATGGCAGACCTGGAAGACTCTCCGGGCTCCTAGCTTCAGATTGGCCCAGCTCCAGCTGTTGTGGCTATTTGGGGAGTGAATCAGCAGATGGAAGAAACGTGTGTGTGCGTGTGTGTGCTTGTGTGTCTCCCTCGCTCTCTGCCTTTCAAATAAATAAATAATCTTTAAAAGAAATAAACGCAACAGCATGCCCCTCAGGCTGTCAGAGAGATCGGGAAGGAGATGGGGACTCCAGGTGTGTGCACTGACACCAGGCTCAACACAGCTGCCTGAGCCCCATGATGCCCTGGTGTGACAGTGCCCAGAAAACACCGCGAGGGAGAAGACTCACCACACATGCCCTACACTTCAGTAACTGCGCACCTGTCACCACTTTCTGGAACCCACAGGCAGTCAGCGTGGATGAGAATTGGCTGCTGACAGAAGCTACAAAGCTGCACACACACACAAGTTTGGGTACAAAAAGTCCTGCCATGGCTTTGTCATAGGACACACTTCCAGGCACTCTACGAGGGCCCCCTGCAGGCACCCCGTGCTCTCACACCCCTTCTGTGCAAAGTGGGCACACTCCCTGTGACTGTGGACCCGTGCAAGCTGAAAAAGCTCAGTGGAGAGCCCGCTGGCCATCGCCGGGAAAACCAGGAGGCAGGCTGTGGTATCCTCGAATCGTAAGAACTCTACGTCTGGGCCAGCACCGCGGCTCACTTGGCTAATCCTCCACCTTGCGGCGCCGGCACACGAGGTTCTAGTCCAGGTTGGGGCGCCGGATTCTGTCCCGGTTGCCCCTCTTCCAGTCCAGCTCTCTGCTGTGGCCCAGGAGTGCAGCGGAGGATGGCCCAGGTGCTTGGGCCCTGCACCCCATGGGAGACCAGGATAAGTACCTGGCTCCTGGCTCCTGCCATCAGATCAGCGCGGTGCGCCAGCCGCAGCGCGCCGGCTGCGGCGGCCATTGGAGGGTGAACCAACGGCAAAGGAAGACCTTTCTCTCTGTCTCTCTCTCTCACTGTCCACTCTGCCTGTCAAAAAAAAAAAAAAAAACTCTACGTCCGGTCTCTGCCCTGCTTGCCGGCACACACAGCTCCTACAACCCTGGGAAGCAGAAGGCGAGGAGAATCTTCTAACGTCTGGCCTCTGGTCCCCGGTTTCCCGGCACATGGACCCTGGAGCCCTTGTCCTCTCCAGAGTGACGTCAATGGCCTGACCAATGGCCGCTGGCCCCCAAGCAGCCTCAGGATGGGAGTGGTCACCAGGAAGAGCAGGGCCTGGTTAGGGGGTTGGCACTCGGAAGAGAAGAGGAGCTGATGGTGGGGCTGGTTGTAAGGCAGCCTTCCTAAAAGCCATCAGGGCCAGCTGCACAGCACAGAAGTCCCCCCTCCAGACTGTCCCAGATGTCACCTGCCGGCCGCCCCACCTGGCTGTGCGTCTGTGAGTGAAGCAGGTCCCTGGGTTCCACGATCTGAGCTGACCGATACTCCAGCCCGCGGACAGGACCCAGGGGCCCCCTCTGCCCCCACCTCACAGCTATCATCAGAAGCCCAGGGCCCAGACTCACAGCTGGCACTTCTTTCCTTTTGAAGTCTCTGAAATAACGTACTTCTAATCTACACTACGGCCAAGGGCCTAATGCTCAGCCACACCACCCTGGACGTGCCCGGTCTCGTCTAATTTTTCAAGAACATCTTGGGTGCATCAGTATCATGATCTCCAATGTCCACCTCCTCCCGCTGACCCCTCAGTGTCCAGTCCTGCCCACCTCGGAGAAGACACAGCACCCACCGTGACAGGCACACACACCTGCTCAAGCCAAGGAATGGAAGCTTCGACCCTGCGCTCCCTCAGCCCCATCGTTCTCCCATCCCCAGGCCTCCTGCACCCTTTTCTTTTTTTTAATTTTTTTTGACAGGCACAGTTAGAGAGAGAGAGACAGAGAGAAAGGTCTTCCTTCCATTGGTTCACTTCCCAAATGGCCGCTACGGCCGGTGCTGCGCTGATCCGAAGGCAGGAGCTAGGTGCTTCCTCCCGGTCTCCCATGCGGTGCAGGAGCCCAAATACCTGAGCCATCCTCCACTGCACTCCCGGGCCACAGCAGAGCTGGCCTGGAAGAGGGGCAACCGGGACTAGAACCCGGCACCCATATGGGATGCCAGCGCCGCAGGCGGAGGATTAACCAAGTGAGCCATGGCGCCAGCCACAACCTCCTGCACCCTTGAGGCTCTCACTCACCTGGGCTTCCCCCAAGCTTTTCACCTGCTACAGCCAAAAGGACTCCATGGAGACAGAAGTCTTGATCCCATCTCTCGTGCACACAACACACACTCCCATGGTCGTCCTCACTGCCAGCATAAACAAAGGCGACAGAGGGCGCCTCCATCTCCCCTCCGCCATGGCATCTCTGGACGGGGCTGTCAGACCTTCTGTCCTGGGTCCTCGGAGCCTGTCCTCGGCTCTGTGGCCCTGTCACACCTGGGACTCCCTGTGTTCACCTAGATGAGATGCAGGCTTCATGGAGCTCAGTCCACACCCACTTGGGGTCCCAGCTGTGGCTCGGACCCACCCTTGTTGAGTGCTCAGTAAATACCCACAGCACAGCGGACGCTGAGTGCCCTGTGCCCCTGCCCGTTCTCAGGGTGATAGGAGGACCACACCATGAATGGGAGTTCAGTATCTGTAGCAAGCTAGGGAATGGCCCAAGCGACAGAGGTGGGGTGGTCACTTCACAATCCCGACACCCCCGGGCCCTGTGGGGGCTATCCAGTCGTGGCCTTGTGCCAGCGCCTTTACAATCAGCTGCCCTGAACACGTCTAAGGAACAGAGCCTGCCCACGTAACCTAATGAGGAACATCTGCCTCCTAATAGAAGCGAAATGACCAAGTATCTAATGCGAAAAACCAGAAATTAAATATACATTGGGTACCACTGCATATGTCTTGGTGAGGGAAGAACTCACCATAAAAAATTATAGCAACGATGTCAAAAATAAGGGGAGAGGCAATAATCACCCCACATTTACCAAGGACAGCAGAGGATGTTTTTATTCTCCGTCCGGTTTCGATACAGAAATGATTACACAGCCTGTAACAGTCTGCTCACCTCTCAGAATGTGCAGGTCGGGGGTGGGGGCGGCAGCGGGCCCTGCACCTGTCAGTCACCCACGTCCTGGAGAAGTCCCGCTGAGAGCACTGACAGTAACCAGCATGTTCCACCCTGTGGAGTCCCTGGGGCTCCTGCAGGACAGAGCAGGGCGGCGGCGTGGCCTGGGGAAGCAGGACCAGCGCCACACACATGTTCAGAAGTGAAACAGCTCTTAACAGCTTCTATTCACTCTCATTTCTTGTGAAATTTTAAGACATGGAAAGAAAAGGGTCACTATTTGCCCTGAAGATCAGTCATCACCCTTAGCCTGCATGGTAAGTCCTATACATGTATTTTTAGAGAATGAAGCTCACACGGTCCTACCAGGCCTTGGGGAGCAACTACGTTGCCCTAAAATGATGTTACTTAAGGCCGGCACTATGGAGTAGCCAGGTTTTTTTTTTTGAGAGTTAGGGTTACAGACAGTGAGAGGGAGAGGCAGACAGAAAGGTCTTCCTTCCATTGGATCACTCTCCTAATGGCCGCTACGGCCGGAGCTGCGCCGATCTGAAGCCAGGAGCCAAGCGCTTCTTCCTGGTCTCCCACGTGGGTGCAGGGGCCCAAGGACTTGGGCCATCTTCTACTGCTTTCCCAGGCCATAGCAGAGAGCTGGACTGGAAGTGGAGCAGCTGGGACTAGAACTGGCGCCCATATGGGATGCTGGCGCGACAGGCAGAGGATTAACCTGCCGGCCCCATATGGAGTAGCCAGTTAAGCCACCGCCTGTGACTCTGGCGTCCCATACGGTTGCCTGTTGATGACCTGGCCACTTCACTTTCGACCCAGCTCCCAGCTAATGTGCCTGGGAAGGCAGCAGAAGATGGCCCAAGTCCTTGGGCCCCTGCACCCACATGCGAGACCCGGATAAACTCCTGGTTCCTGGCTTTGGCCTGCCCAAGCACCAGAGGTTGTAGCCATTTGGAGAGTGAACTACTGGACGGAAGACCTCTGTCTCTCTGTCTCTGCCAGGCAGATGCCCTGGCTCTTTAGCCAGAAGCCCTCCCTGGCGCTTGGACCACTGCCGGCACTGGAGGAGCGAGGAGCGGGCTGGGTTGTATTTGCCTTGGAGCAAATCTTGAAAATAAGCAACACAGCGAGCCTGGAGCAGAAGCGACCTCTACCAATCATTCCCTGTTTCTGAACGGTTCCGGGCAACTTGCGTCATTCACAAGCAAACGTCACGATCCACACTGGCCTGAAGTTAAGAGCGACAGGACCAACCTCCCTCCTCCAGGATGCCCTGCTGTGAAGGCCTTCATCCCAGTGAATACAAATGCTCGGTTAACCAGAACCACACATTAGCAGACCAGGCTGAGTCACAGTGTTGAGTCAACGCAATTTCAGTTTATTTAAAAATAAACTAAGGGGTCGGCGTCGTGGTGCGGCAAGTTAGGCCGCTGCTTGAGACACTGGGATCCTGTGAAAACAGGCTGCTCTGCCTCTGATCCAGCTTCCTGCTCATGTGCAGACAACGGCCCAAGCACATGCGTCTCTGCCGCCACGTGGGAGACCTGATGGAACTCCTGGATGTGTCACAAAAGGAAAAAAGGCTGCAAATGTAATTTCAGCCGAGTGATCCTCAGAGAAGTAGAATTTTCCAAATGGATGCATGTAGTTGAAAGGCACAGTGTCAGAGACAGGGAAGATCTCTCATCTGCTGGTTCGCTCCCTAAATGGCCTCAACAGCCAGGGCTGGGCCAGGTTGAAGCCAGGAGCCAGGAGCTTCATCTGGGTCTCCCGTGTGGGTGGCAGGGATCCAAGGACTTGGGCCACCATCTTCTGCCTTTCCAGGTGCATTATCAGGAAACTGGATTGCAAGGAAAGCAGCCAGGACTGACACCGGCACTCCGGTACGGGCTGCCAGTGCTGCGGGCAGATTAATCGCTGCCCCGCAGGGCCGGCCCCGGGAGGTTGGTTTCCGGTGTTTAGACAGCCCGATTTCTCACGCACTGTTAGGAAGCCGACTGTTGTTCTGCTGATTAGCTGTCATTTCTGTGTTTTTAGATTCTTTTTTTTTTTTTTTTTTTGACAGGCTGAGTGGACAGTGAGAGAGAGACAGAGAGAAAGGTCTTCCTTTTGCCATTGGTTCACCCTCCAATGGCCGCCGTGGCCAGTGCACTGCGGCCGGCGCACTGCGCTGATCCGAAGCCAGGAGCCAGGTGCTTCCTCCTGGTCTCCCATGGGGTGCAGGGCCCAAGCACTTGGGCCATCCTCCACTGCACTCCCGGGCCACAGCAGAGAGCTGGCCTGGAAGAGGAGCAACCGGGACAGAATCCGGTGCCCCGACCTGGACTAGAACCCGGTGTGCCGGCGCCGCAAGGTGGATGATTAGCCTAGTGAGCCGCGGCGCCGGCCAGATTCTTAACCTCTAAAAGCCATTTATAGCTCCCCGGGAGGAGACAGGACAAACGTGTGTTGGGATCATGGCAGCTAACCATGGCCATCGTAATGACTTCCAGGTCTTTTCATTTTCATTTATTTATCTTCCTTTTATTTGAAAGGCAGAGAGACACAGAGAAAGGGACAAAGAGAGATCTTCCATCTGCTGGTTCACTCCCCGCATGCTCACAACAGCCAAAGTAGGGCACTGGAACTCAATCCGGATCTCCCACAAACACAGAGCTGGCAGGGGCCCAAGCCCTTGAGCCAACCCTGCTGCTACCCAGGGTGCACATCAGCGGGGGCTGGACAGGAAGTGCAGGACTCCAGCCAGGCACTGCCATGTGGGATGTGGGCATCCACGCAGCAACTTAACCGCTGTACTCCCACACCCAGGCCTCTCAAACACGACAGACATCGCCACGTCCACTGCCTTGGCCTGTGAACACAAGTGGCCAGGCCCTCATGGGGAAGTTTCTTAAATAGGACACAGGATAAAAAGGCCCACGCCTCACTGGGCCTGGCAGGTCGAGCACCTCAAGGGGCAGGTGCTTGTGGGTGTCTGGGACGAGAACAAGCTGTGTGTAGAGAGGGCTGTGGCAAGCGTTTACAGCCAGCCCTCCGAGTAGCACGCGGGAGTCCTAACGCCACCTCACATCCTGGGGGCAGGGATGCCCAGCACGGCCAAAATAAGGTGCCTCACCCCTGCGGCTGGCAGTCGGCACTGTGAAAAGACGCAATTCCTTCATTTAAAAAAAAAAAAAAAAAAAAACAGCACGTCCACTTACGTAAGGCCAGCAGAGCCTGCAAGAGTGTTTTTGAAAGCTGTGCAGAGAACCACATTGTCAGGAAACTGGAGCTGGCAGGTCTGGGTCCACCCCAGGGAGAGGGGTTACAGAAATAAAGGCAGGTGCTACGGGAGCTGGGATAAGTGAGATAAGCGGCAGGTATTCTTAGCACCTGCCTAGCGCACTGTTCCCCAGGGGCCGTAGGGAGCGCTTAGTAGAGGAGCAAATGTGCTCAGAGGCCTTGGGAAGGAGCTGGTGGGGCAGCCCACTGACCACACCGCTGCCCTCCCTCATGCCGAGCCTTCTCCACTCCAGACTCCGGTCCCACAGGTGGGCGCTCCCTGCCTCTCCCCTGGGACCCGGCCTGCCTCCCTCACTTGTTCCTCCTTCCCTCCAGTCTCCCACCCGACCTTGTGGCTGTGGGCACTGGAGTGCTCAGTCTCACAGATGACCTGGTCCGCCTCCCCGTCCAAGGGCCTCCAGCCTCACGTGGCTTTCCCGCTGCCCAAAGCCCTCCCAGCGCCAAGATCTTCCCCGGTCAGACCCCAGCCCCTCCCTCTGGCCTGCCTGCCTTCACCTCTGACTCTGGCTCCAACCAGGGACCTGCTCTCACATCATCTGGGTGAAGAACAACCCCAATACTGGCTGCGGGGATTGCTGTAGGACCCCTGGACTGGGCCCACTCACCTGACACAGGTGGAGGGAGAAACTAGGTGTTTGCTGCAACACACAGCACAAGGGGTCGGGCAGCTGGGCCCTCATTCCAGGCTCCCTGAGGGACCGGGGTCATTGTCCTTATAGATTGACCTTGGAGCTGAGTGTTTCCCTGGCTGGTCTGCAGAGCCCAAAGCCTTCCTTCAACTGCACACCGATATCAGGTCCTTTAGGGGAGGTTGACGATGACAGAGTGGGTACGGGCAGGTGGCCGTTCTGGGGTTCCCGGGAAAGACATCGCTCAAGATGAGATCGGGCACCATGCTGTTACCGGGGAAGCAGACAGCCTCAGGAGTCTGATCGATCGTTAGAATCCTGCAGGGCTGGCTGTACCTCCCCTTCAGGCCTCCAAGTTGATTCTAGTGAGCGGTTGATTTGCTAACACAAAGGCAGGGCAAGGACACTTTAAGCCGAGGGAGGGAGGTGGGGGACCAGGGCCTGACGGTACCTAGCGCCTCTGCATTCCAAGCGTGGCGCAGGCGACTCCTCCTCCAGCCATCAACCTTCGTGACCTTTGGGGCTGGAAACTACCCGGTCGCACAGAATGCAGCCCCTGGAGTATTCCCTCGGCTGCGGAAAACTCCACGTGGGACACTTCCTGGGAAAAGGTTAGGAAGACGGCAAGAGCATCACCAAGTCCCGCAACACAGGTGCCGCGGAGCTGCCGCCTGATCCCATGGCTCGCTCGAGCCTGTGACAGCCACACAGCCACACAGCCACACAGCCAGGACGCCGGCTCCAGTCTGCAGACGCAGAAGGAAGGACCCTATGGGAAGTCCAGCCCCAACCCAGACACCGAAACAGAAGGTCGTGGTTTTGAGGGCCTGTGAGTCAGGGCGCAGGGAGCTTTCTGCTGGGTCGTCAGGAACCAAATCGGAAGCTCAGAGTTCCAGTAGGGACTGAGCACCTGGACACAGAGGACCGAGGGGGGCAGGCAGGGAGGGAGGGAGGGGGCTGTACCCCCTCAGCATCAAAGCTGTGACTGAGTTAGTCTCAGAGCAACTGAGGGACTCAGTGGACGTTTCCAGAACCTTGCTCAGCCTGCCCCACCAAGTAGAATGTTAGCTTGAGATGAACAAAGCACAAGGCGTGCCCATGACCTTGACTGTCACCCGCGTCAGTGTCAGATGGCAGTCACGGTTCTTCAGGTATCTCCGGGGCCCCGGCAGAAGGAAGTGAAAACCTACAGACAAGAAGCTCACACTCAGTAATTCAAGTCCACAGCTGTCGCTCCCCGTCTTCGTGGAGGAACCACACAGGACCCTGCGTTGTTCTTTCGTCTGCTCGGCCCTCCCCAGGTTTGCTGCTGGTTCTTCCCGGGTTGGCTACCGACCCTTCCACCTCCGTGGAAGGGCGGTTCCCCCTAGCCACTTTCCCCACTTCCGCGGGGAAGCAGCACACCGCCGGCCGGCTCTCTCGGGGGCTGCACAGGTGTTCCTTCTAGATGTTCCCCTTAGATGTTCCTGGTGCATGCCGTCTCTCTCCTCCTTTATAGTCCTCTTCCACCAATCCCAACTCTGCTACCCACACGCCGAGTATGCTGCTCTCCTCCAATCAGGAGCAGCTCCTGCAGTTTATTGGTTGAACTGGAGGCAGCTGTGTAGAAGCTGTTACTTCCTTCTCAGCGCCATATTGTGGGAGAGCAGATGCATAGAATAAGTCTTAATTCCAGTAACTTAGTCTAGTCCGAGTTGCTCCCAGTTGCTCCCCACACACAGCCAAAGAGAGTTTGATGAAAAGAGCCCAAGAAACCCACACTTTCCCATGTAAGCACACTGAAAGATAATTATATAAACAAGTGTCCGGTATGTTGAAGGAAGCAGTGAGAAATGTCCAGTCTGCTGTCCTATTGTCATCTTGGAAAACGTACAGAATGGCCGCTCACCCACTGACTTGTTCCATCAGTCACCAAGCACGCACGGAGCCCTCGGACGAGGCTACGCCCAGGGAGGAGGTCAGGCCCCTCCCCTGGGTAAGCCCCAGCACGTGACACAGGGATGGACAGAGTGCAGTGGCTCTGATGCAACTTGAGTCGTGGGGTGCGTCAGCAAAGGGGTCCACCCACAGCGAGCACCTTTGCAAACCTCAGTAACTGGGTACGAAGCCCAGTTGTGGGGTCCCACTGCGGCGCAGTGGGTTAAGCTGCTGCCTGCAACACTGGCATCCCACGGTGGAACACCGGTTCTAGCCCTGGCAGCTCCACTTCCAATGCAGCTCGCTGCTAAAGCACCCAGGAAAGCAGAAGAGGGTGCAAGGACGTGGGTCCCCGCCATCCGTATGCGAGACCCAGATGGAGCTCTGAGCTCCTGACTCTGGCCTGGCCCAGCCCTGCTCTTTGAACACGCACAGTCTCTTTCTCCAGGTAGGAACTATGCCTGTGAGGAGATCCACGTTAATACATGAAAATGGAGATAAGAGCTGAGCACGCCAAGAGCAGACGGAAATGAGGACTCGTTAGGGACCTGCACCATCGTCGGTACACGTGCTGGGGTGGGGAAGGCATTTTGGCCTGAGTACAGAGGCTGGCGTGAGCTCCCATTCAGGCACGCAAGCGTGTGAAGGAACAGAAGACATTCCCCAACAGGGGCAGGCGCGTGGCACAGCAGCTAAGTTGCTGCTGGGATGCCCACTTCCTGTAAGGGAGTGCCTGGTTCAAGTCCTGGCTCCTCTGCTTCGGATCCCAGGATCCCGATCCCGACAACGTGCACCCTGGGAGGCGGCAGGTGAGGGCTCACGTTACTTGGTCCCTGCCACCCAGGTGGGAGACCTGGAAGGGGTTCTAGGTTCCTGGTTTCAGTGTGGCCCCAGCCTTGGCTGCTCAGGCATTTGGGGAGTGAACCAGAAGAAGGAAACTCACACTCGCTCATTCTCTCTCTCTCTCTCTCTCTGTCTGTCTCTGTCTCTCTCTCTGTCTCTCTGTCTCCCTCTGTAGGTGTGTCTCTGCTTTTCAAATAAAACACCGGGGCTGGTGCTGTGGCGCAGTAGGTTAACACCCTGGCCTGAAGCACCGGCATCCCATGTGGGCGCCGGTTTTAGTCCCGGCTGCTCCTCTTCTGATCCAGCTCTCTGCTGTGGCCTGGGATAGCATTAGAAGATGGCCCAAGTCCTTGGGCCCCTGCACCCACGTGAGAGACCTGGAAGAAGCTCCTGGCTTCGGATCAGCACAGCTCCGGCCATTGCAGCCATCTGGGGAGTGAACCAGCGGATGGAAGACCTCTCTCTCTGTCTCTACCTCTCTCTGTAACTCCATCTTTCAAATAAATAAAAATAAATCTTAAAAAAAAAAAGAAATGGTCTGGGTTTGTTAGATATGGAAAACAAAGGCAAACTCTAAAAAAAAATTTTTTTAAATACTTTTTTTAAAAAGTCCATGAACAAAAGGCAGATGACAGAGGGCCCCGATGGCCACGGGGTTTCCAAGCTCAAGACCTCACTCTGCACGCAAGAGGAAGGTATGGACATGCACAGCCACACAGCGCCTTCATGAACGCTCAGGTACCCTGGCCACGGGTGACACATGCACACGCATGCTCGGTCACCTGTCGGGAGACCGCCACCTCCCCTCCTGTGACACGCCCCGCGCCCCAGCCCTTCCAAAGTGCCATTTCTGTCTCTCCTAGCCTACTCTGGTGATGACGCACACTCCCGTGCTGGGGGCCAGTTCCCAGCGCTCTCAGCGGAGTGGATGGGCCAGTTCCATCACCAAGCCCGCTGACAGCCGCTTCCTGGACACCCAAGGGGGGCTGCTGACCACCGGCTGTACACGGTGCCGTACACGGTGTCATCAGCTCCCCCTTGCCGGCCGGTCCCATCCTATGGTGTGTGCTGCAGGTGCAGACACGTCCAAGGGTTCCCAGCTTGGAGACGTCCCTGGCTTCTGGAAGGGAGGATCTCTGCTAACAGTGACACGGAGCTTTTATCTTCAAAGCACTGGGAAAACATTATGTAATTATCCCTCCTTGCATACCTGGGAGGCAAGGATGCAGCACTAACCCTGGACTTCAGGGGACGAGGCTCCCGAGAGGCCCAGCCCCTGCCCCCAGGCCGGAGAGCAACATCAACACAGAGGTCAAGCACCACAAGCTCCTCCCCGCTCTGTCCAGGGCAAGTTCCTCCAAGAACAGGGAAACAGGTCGTGTTTGTGCAGGGCAGCTGGGTGGGAGGCTGGGTTTGCGCTGTCTGGGCCCCATACCTCGAATTCCGCACCTGTCAGAGGAGCCCTGCCTGTCCCTGACCCCCAGGTTCAGAAAAGCAGCTCTGACAAAGGCCTAGGATTCTGGCCCTTTGAGGAGCTGGGGAGACGGTGACACAGGCGAGACCCACACACACCCCTCTGCTATCAACTCGGCCCCAGAAGCAAGGGCCCTTGTGACCTCGACACCCAGCCCCTGGACACTGCCCCCTCCTCCTTGACACCTGCCCCTAGAGACGGCCTCTGAGCTCCAAGGTTAGGAGCAAGTTGAAGTTTAACAGAAACCCCGGGAGGCTTTGCATTCTACCAGGGGAGCAAAGTCCCTTTCTGTACCACGCCAGTCCTCAGTGCAGAGGAAGCCCCCCGGCTCGGCCCTGATGTCACAGCTCTGCAATTCCTCCGGGGCCCCCAATTCCTCCGGGGCAGCTGGCACTCCCAGAGTCCTCCCCACAGCCAAGCTCAGGGCTAAAGGGAATGGAGGGGCAGCCGCATGATACGGAGGTTAAGTCGCCAATGGTGATGCCCACACCAGAGTGCCCGGTCCAAGTCCCGGCTCCACCGCCGACTCCAGCTTCCTGCTATTGCACACCCTGGGAGGCAGCAGCTGATGGACCAAACACTTGGGTCCCTGCCACCCTTGTGGGAGACCTGGATATTGTTCCAGGCTCCTGGCTGTAGCCTGGCACAGCCCCCAGCCGTTGTGGGCATTTGGGGAATGAACCAACAGATGGAAGATCTCTCGATCTCTCTCTCTCTCTCTCTCTCTCTCTCTCTCTCTCTCTCTCTGCCTTTCAAATAAAGCATAAAGGAAAGCCGGCGCTATGGCTAGGAGCAGGGTCCTTGGTCTTTCTGCTGCTCATAGGTTACTTCCTTTCTCAAAGCCTCCGCTTCTCCATCTCTGAAATGAAGTAGCACGTGTGTCTCTGCCCAGAGTTATTATGATCCTGAGAATTAACAGACACACAGAGCCCAGCAGCACCAGGCCCCGGCCCCCAACATGCTTGTTCTTGTTAGAGGCCCCATGCTGTGCTCAAGAAAGCCCTGGAGGCTGAGCCCCAGTCCCACTTTACAGACACAGAGACTGGGGCACCCCCCTCCCAGTTCACAATCAAGTCAGCTGTGGAGTCGGGTCGCCCCCAGGGGCAGCCTGGTCACTCGGTTCTCCAGGCCTCACAGGCAGCCACCTTGGGCTGCCAGCGACCAGCCCAGCCTCGAGTCACAACTTGTCCACCTCAAACCCTGGGCAAAGCTCCTGTCTCTTCTCCAGCCCCGGTCTCCAACAGAGAGGCGCCCCTACCACACGGCTTGCACACAGGGCCCCGGGGATGCTCCAGGGCTCTCCTCAGAGGTGAGGAGTGACCAGGACACGGTGCAGGGTGAGCAGAGGTGGGGCGGCCACCAGCAGGGGTGAGAGGCTGTGGGCCCCTCAGTTCCTTGTTTGCCTGGGAATCTTCCCAGGTACCCAGTGTGCTCTCGCAGCGTGAGTTCTTTTATGAAATAAAATCAGACTGGTGCTGTGGCACAGCCGGAAAGGCTGCTGCCTGTGATGCTGGCATCCCATACGGATGCTGGTTCAAGTCTCAGTCGCCCCACTTCTGATCCAGCTCCCAGCTAACGCACTTGGGAAAAGCAGCAGCACACCTGCCCCTACACTGGAGACCTGGAGGAAGCTCCTGGCTCCTGGCTTTGGCCTGGCCCAGCCCTGGCTGTTGCAGCCATTTAGGGA